GTTGGAATAGGTTAGAGGAGCAACAAAAGAGCATTTGATTTACTGGCAAAATTTACATGAGGAAAATGAGGCTGTGGATCAAGCTGATAGTGAAGTAGGTCACACAGGGCTTTAACCAAATGGACAAGGACAATAAAGGAAAAGGAGTAATCCTAAAACAGGGTGATTAGTGTCCTAGTGTGCATAGGCTGGCTCGGGGTCTGGTTTACACCTTTCTTGTGGAGTAGTTACTACTAGCACTCCCTTTTACTCTCACAGTGTCTCAGCTCGGATGATAGATACATTGTAGTAATCACTGTGCCACTGACATTCAGCTGTCTGGCTGCTTACTGGGCAGACAGTGGTGCCTTTAGATAAGATTAGGAGCAAAGTCAAAGGAGCAGACTGTGGGGGAGGGGAGGAGATAAATCAGGAATACTCTGAGTTCTCTTTACATTTTTTTGGTTTGAGGCGGAAGGTGATGTAGCAAGATGAACATGAGATCAAGCTGGGCATGGTGGTGCCCAGCACCTGGGAAGCTGAAGCAGGAGGATCACTTCAACCTAGGAGTTTTAAGTCAGTCTGAGCTACTCAGCAAGACACTATCTCTTAAAACACACAATTTACCCCACCAAAGTCTACCATATAAAGGTGAACTAAATGGACATTCACTTATCACTTCCTTCAGCACATCATCTTTGTCTTTCTCAATCAACCTCAAATATACGCAAGAAAGTATTTATTTAAAAAAATCTATTCTACATTTTTCGTCTTATTGCTCAGTTCTTTTATTATTCTTTAAGTTTTGGTGTCGGTTCAGTTAAAACTCTGTTAGCTGGTATTCTCCTTTCATTCTACCCAAGCTGGGCATGGTGGTGCCCAGCACACAGGAAGCTGAACCCCAGAAATGGTGGTTGACCCAGGGCCTTTACCCTGATATATATCCCAAACACATTTTTTTTGATGTTCGAACTGCTAAATGACCTCAGACTGTGGTTGCATATTTTGCTTCAACCTCTCAGTGTTAGGATTATAGATGTGACCCACTATACCCAGTTTCATTTCATTTTAATAGGCTGTTAAAGACAAGAAAAGTCATTATTAGGATTCTTGAGTGAATAGCTTTTGTTTTTATCTTTTTTGGTAACAGGCAATTTCCAGGAATGCAAGACAGGATCAGTAGTAATCAAAATTCATGCTCTGTAGAACTAATACAACACAGGAGACAGTCAAAAAGAAGTAGCTAAGGCACCTCAGGATGTTACGTATGATCATGTTCAAAATTTCTATCCTAAAGGAAAATGGTCTCAGTTTGGTTAACAAATTAATAGCAAACCAACTCTCAAGAAGCAGCTAAGTGTTTCAAAATTATTTCAGTATGTGTTGAAAAGAGTTGTATTGTTATGTTTGTTTCTTTTTTGTAAGAATCTTTTGGTTTATGTCTTTGTTTTGAGACAGAGACTCCCTCTGTAGCTGAGGCTGGCCTGGCCTTGAACTTTCAGCAATCATTCTGCCTCTGCCTCCCAAGTGCTGGGACTACAAGCATGCACCACTACAGCCAGCCAGTTTATGTCTTGTACTGAGTGACTACTTTAAAGAAGATACGCACCATTAAAAACTTCTGCTATAAGAAAAGCAGCCAAGGTATCCTACAAAATGCTGAGTATGATTAAACTCTAAATTTCTGTGTTGAAAGACACAAGTATATTTAAACAGTTTAGAAAGACTTAGGGATTGAAACCAAATTACTTTGTTAATATTCCAGTTGAAAAACAATGAGAAATGCTTCTGAAGCATTCTGGTTAGTTCCTTATAATAACTGGAATTACAGTTTCATGTCACTTTTACTAACGTGGCCCACTATTTTCTTTTTGTATTTAAGTAAGGGTCTACAGGGTCTCCCTATATAGATCGGACTTGTAGTGATCTGCCTGTGTTCAGCCTCCCAAGGGCTGGGATTACTTGTGCATGCCACCACGCCCAGCCTCAACAGCCATCTCAGTGTGCCCTGGAGGCGGGGCCAGCACAACACACCAGGGATTGAACCCCAGTAGCTGCATTCTGCCTAAGCGGGCACTTTAATTTGCTGAGCTATTTGGCTAGCCCTTACTATTTTCTAGATTCTACATAAACAACTGGAGAAAAACATCTTACTAATAATAAAGGCCCAATGTTAAAGTATGACAGAAAAAAAAAACCCCTATATCTGATTAGAATTCTTCAAAATTAATTCTTGTATACTACAAACCATTGAATTATTTTGTTTATTCATGAAGCACACATTTCAAAGAGGCGAATTTTATAGTATATGAATTATATTTCAATAAGCAATTAGAAAATATCATTGTTGGGCCAGTGGGACATTTGCCTGGCATGCACACAGCCCTGGGTGGGCATCCTAATGCTGCAAACCAAACGGAACACCCAAAACCATTGCAAAACCCATTCTTGTTTACAATGTACCAAGTATATTCACATTCTTATGGACCCCACACACTACTATTCATTATAGAACCTTTTTCATCTTGCAAAACAGAATCTCTAAACCCATTAAACATGAACTCTCCATTCCTTCTTCCCCTTAATGCCTAGCAACTAGTAAAAGTCAAGCTTTTAAGTGGTCAGAATAGAGCTAAATTCTTACCAGATTATGTATAATATTTGTTAAGGTCCAAGCAACAGGAACACTGAAGAAAGGAATGCTGAGTAAGACAATATGAAGCAAGCCAACTCCTAATGCATATGTCAGCCACATACCCCGGCTGTTCATTACACGGGTATTAGGATTCACCTCGCTGTGGGCAACTCCAACATTCATGTTTGCGCTGTAGGAGAGAAATAAAGTAAAGCAACACTGTTTATATAAAGCTGGAAACCAAAATAACCCAAATTCTGACATGACAAAAAGTTACCAGAATTATTTTTTCCTTGTTATTTTGGTATAGAACAGATATCGTCTCCAAAATACGATACTTGCAGATGTGATGTAGGGGGTGAACAGCCCAGAACATTTGAACTTACAGACTTGTTATAACAGTCTGTCTTCCAGCACATGTTGGTTTTACTAAATGAAGTAATGCTCAGGAAAACACAAACTGAAAAGAGAAAAAAAACTACGCTTTTTTTATACCAGGAAAACAAAGTAAAAAGTCAAGGCTTAACCAAACATAGTAGCACATCCCCGAAACCCTAGCACTGGAGAAGCTGAGGCAGGAGGTTCTTTGCAACCAAAATCAGTTTGGGCTACAAAGGAAGTTTAAGGCTAGCCAGAATTACATAGCCAGACCCTGGCTCTAAAACAAAACAAACAACCAACTATGGGGGCTGAGGAGATAGCTCAGTGGTCTAAGTGCCTGTCTGGAAAGCGCAAGGACCCAAGTTCTATCCCTGGTATCACACACTATGCTGGCCCCAAATTCGGGTGTGGCGGCACATGTCTGTAATCGCAGCACTGGGGAGGTTGAACTGCACAGAGAGACCCTCTATCAAATAAATAAATAACAATGACAACAAAGCCAAGAGTTAAACTTAGCAACAATTTTTTTTTTTTTAAAGAAATGACCCAGCAAGTTAGTTGAGTAGCCAGATTCTTACAGCTAATGTACTGTTTGGTACATCCTGTGGTCAGAATTCAAAGGACTCCTTTTTTGACTACAGAGTCTGGAAGGAACATGCCTTGACAATGCATAAAATTTAGCCAAGGTATAACAGGTGTCTCACTTTTGTGGCACAACTAGGTTCAGTGACTCATCTGAATATTTATAGTCAACTCCTCTAAAACTTTCTCATAAGTTGTGCATGACCCTTTTATGTTCAAGATGAACACCAAAAGGATCTATGATATATAATAGTTCTCAGTCGTTTTAGCAAAGATGCTTATTTGGGTTTAAGAATTCCTTAAACTTAAAATCAACTATCATCTCAGGAAGAGTGTTCAACGAGGCTAAAATACATCTGTAACAGCTCCCATTTGAAAAATTTATAAACTTTTTTATTAATAGCAGAGAGAAATTACTCATCGCTTATCTAGTAAGTGTTTCCGGAGCAGAATGTACCTTTTTTTCACCCTCTGAAAATCTCAAGGCTTACAGCGATCTAAGTTACAGAGACAAAGCACAAGTCTCTCTTAAGTATGTACGTAAATATTTCCACGATCATCCACAGTTCATCCACAGTTTATCAGATACTGTATTTAAATCTCACAGTACGCTCTGAATAGTCCACCACTCAAGATACTTTTCCTATTTTCTACAAGATAGAAAAACAAAAGGCTGGAAGGAGGCCTGACATTTACATCTCAGGAGACAGGGGAAGGGTCAGAAAAAGAATCCGATCGTGTTGTTATACGTGTAACAACCACCGCCCGAAGAATGTAATCATTATGCATCTGCAAACACACACGAAATAAAAAAATTTAAATACACAGGGGCAGGGCAGGGCTGGCGCGGTAGTGGGGGCACCCCGACTAGAACCCCTCACCTCCAGGTGCCGCGCCTCCCCGGGCCCGGCGAACAAAGACTCGCGGACAGCGCAGTGTCGGCGTCGCCCTCGCCGGGCCGCGGCACGCCGGCGCCTCGGCGGACCCTCCCGCGGCCAGAGTCCGCGCGGCAGAGCCCCCACCCCTCCGGGGTCGCAGCTCAACATCGGGGGGGCCGTGGCTCCGCGACGAGGACCCAGAGGCGACAGGCGTCTGGGGCCCCTTAGCCCGCGGCGCAGGCAGGCAGGGCGCCGCGGGAGCAGCCGCAGCCTGCTCCTCGCCCCTGGGGCGGCATCGACCCCTCGAAGCCCACAGCCACCGAAGCGCCCGTACCCACTCACCGCCGCCCGCTCCAGGCTGCTAGCGCGGCGCTGACCACCTCTGGAGCTAACGTAGCGTTTCCTCACCGTGTGCTCCTGCTAGGCGCCGCGGGCGGAAGCCTTCCCGGCTGGTCTCCCTGCCGGGGGATTGGCTACTAGCCTTGTCAATCTCGCTTCCTCGGGGGTGGGGGGCGGGACTACGGGGCGCGACGAGTGCCCGCCCCTTCGCACAGGCGCGCTGTGGAGAGTGGGGCGTCGCGCGGAGCCGGGCCGGGGACTGGGTGGGATGCCCGCCGCTGGTCGTCCGCTGGTGGATGGTAATTACCTGCCTCGCACGAGCTGCAAGGTTTGTCGTGGGGCTCCCAGAGTTCGTTCTTACACTGTCCTGAGTTTGAGTGTCCCGCCCCTCCTAGACTCCCGCCTGTGGAGGCCGCCGCCGCGCGGTGGGCGCCTCCCGGGGGCGGGAAGCGGCTCGGGCGGGAGCGCGGCCCCAGGAGCCCGCGCCCGCTCTGGCCTGGTTTTTTTTCTTGCAGCCCATTTCCCAGACGCTTCTGGGCGCGAGGCTTAAAAAAGGAAGTTGCCTTCCGGGCAGAACGTTGAATCCCAAAGACCTTAACTTGACTGCGCGTGAGTGTGGCGTCGTAATGTGGTTCGCGGTCCCAGAGGGGTAGCGTTACAGCGTCCCTTAGGCCCTGTTGTGAAACAGCTGGTGTCATGGTGCATCATCTCTGCCGAGTGCTGGCAGCAGTACGTCCTGAGAACACGCGGCATTCAAAGATTTGAATGAGGATGGAGAGGAAGAGACTTGATAAGATTTTATTTAATCATCTTCGAAATCAAATTGCCTATTTATCTTGGCAGTACATAAAGGTTTTTTTTTTCTCTTTTCCGAAATAACTTGCCAAAATATTTTAAAAGTTGACTTAATAGAATGTTGGCTCTATATGTGTAAATACCTGATATTCCAGTTGGATTAGATTTAGTCTGCTCTTTAAATTATTTGTGTTCTAAAAAAAAAACCCCAAAATCTGAGTTCCCTGATCCCTACTTATCTCTCAGCAAAAAGGGAAGAATCACTATGCCAACATTTCTCAGAAATTCTGTGCTGTTAACTTGTAAGCCTGGTATCAACCCTCTGCTTTTCAGGAATCTGTTACACATGTAATACAATGGTTCCTTTTGCAGATTCTGTGTCTGGTTAATACAGAATCCCTGCCCTCAACTCTAAAGCAGAAGGGAAGGAAAATAGGATGACTCGTGAATTTGGATTTAAAAATATGGAAGAGTAAAATAAAATAAAATAAAAAATTTAAAAGGAAAAGGTACTACAAGAATATAAAGCATAGAATATCTAATTTGTTAGGAACCTGAAGTGTGTGGGGATGATGAGACTATAGCAGGGAAAATCTGGGCAGAAGGTCAGAAGTTATCCTAGAAGGGAATGTGACAAGCTAAGGGGCATGGTGGCAGAGAATTAGAAAGGTAGGTAGAGATCTCCGATTGTTAAGGGTCTGGACTTTACCTAGTTAGCAGTTGGAAACCTTATAAAAATTGTAAGTAGGGTAGCAATGCAGTGAAATTTTTCACTGTCTTATAGGTAGTTGAAATTGGAGTAAAAATATTAATTAGCTATTGCTGTAGGTCAGAGGCGAAATTTTCAGAGGCTAGGGGGTATAGTTGTTAGGGGGTATAGTTGGTCCAGGGATGAGTGGAGTTAATGATGACATGCTTTAATGTTTACACTGGCACAGGAAAGACACTGATAATGTTATTTTTAGTGGCCCTTCAGCCCCTAAACCTGGATGCTCAGGGTGAGTGAAGTGCTGTGATTGCTCTCTGTGGCATCTGGAGATACATATACATAATTCCTTGCACTCCGAAGTTACACACTTTCAGGACTGGTATGTGATAAGCATCCTATGAATGATGCAAGCTAAACACTTCAGCAGTTTAGGGGTAGGGAAGGAGCATTCTAATTGGATGATTGTGTTGTAGATAATACTAGAACTAGGCTGGCCAGATAGCTCAGTGGTGCAGGGACCAGGGTTCCATCCCCAGCAATTGAAACTGGGCGTGGTGGTCCACATCTGTAATTCCAGCGTGTGGGAGGCTGAAAACAGGAGTGTCATTATGAGTCTGATCTGTGTAGTGAGACCCTGTAGATCCTGTGCTAAATACATTTTTTTAAAAATTACTAGAACTGGACCCAGAAAATACATTGCATTGTATTAAGAGGAAGTAAGGAGTATAACAAGTACAGATTAATAGCAAAGGAGTGGAAAGTTTTTAATCTTGGTGACTGATAATATACTCTCATATATATATATATATATATATATATACTCAAAAAATTTTTTAAATCATTTATTTATTTATTTGGTACAGGGTCTTGCTACACATCTCAGACTAATAGTGATTTTTCTGTCTCAGCCTTCCCAGTACTGGGATTTACAGGTGTGCACCACTATGCCCTGTTTCTGTGGCGAGCAAAGGTTCCAGGGCCAACATGGCATGCAGTACTGGGGATCAAAATCAGGTCCTTGTGCTTGCCAAGCAGGCGCATAGACTGCTGAACTATCTCCCTGTCCCCAACAATATGCTCTTAAGAGAAATAGCAAAATTAAGTGGAATGTGGCGGGAGGTCACATGAGTTCTATTTCATAAATATTTATGTAGCCATGGCATTGTTTGTTACAAATATCTCCCTGTGCTTGGGAAGACAGACATTACTTACTGGGATTTGTTTTGGGTCTTACCATACCTAAGGATAGGGGAAGGGTTGGAAAATGCTCTCATTTCTAGGAAGACAGTAAAGACTACAAGTGGTCAAGCGAATATAGATGGAAATAGCGTTGAGAATTAGGTAATAGCATCACAAGTTTCAGGGAGGTTAAGGAGCATGAGTACTGACAAAACAATTCAGTGACTCGAAGGAAGAGAATAAAATTCTAACAGTGGTTAAAGTTGTAGATATTTTGGTAGGGTTATAGAAATGAGTTAGTGATAGGGAATTAATGACAGTCAATATAGGATACTTACTCAACTTTATTTTTTTATTTATTTTATTTTATTTTTTTTGGCAGAACTGGGGATTGAACTCAGACCCTTGCGCTTGCTAGGGAAGTGCTTATTCTACTGAGACATCTCCCTGGCCCCCTTACTCAACTTTAGCTTCATAAGAAAAGTGAAGCTGGTTGTGGTGGCACATGACATTAATATCAGCACTTGGGGAGGCTGAGGCAAAACGAGCACAAGTTCAAGCCCAGCCTCAGCAATTTGGTGAGACCCTGTCTGAAAAATAGGAAAAGGACTGAGGATATAGCTTAGTGCAGAGGCCCTGTTCAATCCCTGGTAGTACATAAAACAACAATAACAAAAAAAGAGAGGATAATTGTTGACGTAAAAGAGTTGAAGGGTTTTTGTTTTTTTTAATTCAATACCAAAATGCTTGTAGGGAAACTCATTGAAATCAAGTGGAAGTGTCAAGTAATTAGTCAAAAATGTTAATGCCTTTGCCTTATCAGTGCTGCTAGAATTAAATACCGTATGCTAGGCAGCCTGTAAACAACAGAAATATTTCTTGCAGGTTTGGTAGCTAGAAAAACAAAATAAAGCAGACTCAGAATCTTATGAGGACCTGATTGGTGACTAACAGATGGCACCATCTCATGTTCTTACATGATGACAGGGGAGAAGGCAGCTTTCTGGATCTTGTGACTAAGGGCACTGATCCCAATCATGGAGGTGTGACCTTCCTGGATACCCCACCTCCTAACTGGGTTTAGGATTGCACCATGGCTTTTGGGGGGACATAAACATTCATGGCACTTCATTAAGAGAAAGGAGACATTGACCTCGTCCCAAAGGAAGAAGAGTATGGGTAGGAATGCAGACATCTTATCAAACCAGAGGACATGGTGGAATGGGGTTAGGCAAGCTGTGAAAGAATTAATGCTATGAATTCCTGTGATCTCAGGAAACAAAGATGGAAAAAGACTGTGATGAAATTAGGAATTTAAAAACAAAGAACAGGATGATTTTGGAGTAGAAATGAGTTGAAGGTAATAATGAAAGTATTCAGGCTTCCCAGAACAAGTAAAGGTTGAGATGAGGCTAAGTTTTAACTCCTAGCTTTGTTAATCAGTATTTTTTGTAGATTCTTGGGATTTTTCAAGCTAATGTAGAATACCGTACCTGAACCCAAGCCTAATGGGTTAGCTCCTTTAGGGATAGAGGCTGGAGGTAGATGGGTTATTCCTTTAGTAATTTGGATGAAGTCAATGTAGCCTGGAGTTTGTGAGCATTTATATGCCAACTACTGTAAGTTTTTTATGTGTATTATTTCTGACTACCCCTATATGCTAACTGCCCCATTATTTTCCTCATTTTATACATTAGGCGATTGTGTTTTAGAGAGTTTAATTTCCTCACTGTTGTATAGCTGAAGTTATATCTAGGATAATACCAAAGTAGTGGGGCTATGGATACAGCTGAGTGGCATGGTGCCTGCCTAGCAAGCATGAGGTTCTGAGTTCTATTCCAGGTCCTCTCCAAAAAAACCTAAGTAGATAATTTTAGAGCCTGCTTTTTTAAGCTACAGCTCTGTCTAGCACTTCAGTCGAAGTGTAATTTCTAATTTATAGTAATTTAAAAAAAGAATTTAATTTCAGTATGTATTAAGTATGTCTTAGTTTGTTATCACTGAAACACAATTCCTGGTACCTGCAAGTTAAAGGAGATAAGGTTTATTTTGGCTCACAGTCTGTAGAGGTTTCAGTCCATAAAGCTAGCTTTACTGCAGGGCGGCATCACAGAGGAGAATTGGCTCATGGCTTGGTAGTCAGAAGCAGAAGGAGAAGGGGAAGAGGCCCTCGAGGCCACGCCCCCAGGGACCTGCCTCCTCCAGCCAGGCTTTACCTCCTAACATCACATTTAGGTATAAATTTATCAGTATCCACAGTGAGTATTACATCCCTGTGATCGAATCACCTCCCGAAAATCCCACCTATGAGCTAATGATACATAGGGGTTTTGGGATATATGTAGATATAAAACAGGAATGTAGCTTAGTATGTCTAAAGTAGCACTTTATCTTACAATCATGTAAACATTTAATTGGATTTTATTTTATGCTGAATTTGAAATCTAATGTGTATTAGCACATCTCAGTTTGGACTTGCCACATTTCAGGGGCTCAGTTGTTACACGTGGCTAGTGACTGAAATTACGCAGTATAGGAGTTCTGTGCCTTTACACCTGCGACTCCAGTCTGGCGCTTCAGAAGAGTGAAAGTGCCTTTTGTGACAGTACTAATATGTTTGAGTATCAATCAGCTTTGCCTTATATATAGCAGATATAGTCGTATAATGAATTGTGGCTGTTTAAGACCCTTAGAAGGCAGTAGGTTGTGTCTTCCCAGAAATGTATCCCTTTAAATTTTGTATGCTGTAATGCCTATACTCCATTTCTTGTTCAGTTGCTGTTTGCATGACTCTTTGTTGCTTGAGAAAGAATCCTAGGTTGACCTTTATGTTCTGTTTTTTGTTTTTGCACAGGTATTTTATTTGAAACTATATCCCACAGAATCAAATTATCATACAAGCATGTAACTAGTTATGTTAAATGAAGGAAGTGGTTGGGTACCCTATTCTAATTGTTTGGTCCAAGAAACTCTTAACTTCTTAGGAATTGCATGTTGTCAAGCTAGTGTTTATTTTCCTAAAATCTTTTCTGAAATTACGTATTATAGTACATGCCAAGCCCCTTCCTGATGTGTTAGATGTGGACTTCTCATGAGATTTTTGTTTGTGTTATGATTGCTTGATCAAGGGGTTTATAGCTATAATAATTACTAGAGGAGGAATTTGTATTTTCGTGTTGAGTCAGCATATTAAGGACCTCAAATACCAGCACACAGATTTGAGCTTTATCTTTTACACTTGTAGAGCCACATGATTAGAATGTTGTTTTAAGATGAGTAATAGAGAGGGCAATTAATCTCACATGCCGAGATCTAACTAGTATAGATTAACAGTAACACTAGAGGCTAGATTTCAAAAAAGCTCAGTGATTAAAAAACACGTTGTGACTCCTCAGAACATGTTAATGACTAAAGATGTTTGAGTGAAACTATTGCTAAGTTATAGGACTGACAACATCCCAAGGTGGCAGCGCTATGAGGTCATTGCAAGCCTGGCAGATCATCCATTACATTCAGTATCACACAGTTGTTCTTATCATTCCTCAGTTGTTAACGCAGTGTGATCTATTAACTAGGTGTTTGTTTATAAGTTTGTGTGTGTGTTTGTGTGGTGCTGTGGATAAACTCAGAGCACTTTCTAGGAAAACATTCTATCACTGAGGCTCCTCCCAGCCCAGTGTTTTGTTTTTAACAAATCAATCATGTTAGAACACATTCGTCTTCACAATTCCATTATATATGTGTTTTCAGTGATCTACTTAGTATCTGTTATGAGTTTACATGAGGACATACTTGTACAGACATTTAACAAAATGCATTTAAGATAAAATCTCTTAATTTAGCAGTCCCTGTGCCAGTCACTCAGTTTTTTTCTTTTTCTTTTTAAGCCTCTGTAGACATAAAAAGAACAAGAGTGATTCTCAAAAGAATTTTATTGTTTTCAGAATAGCATTGTGATGGGAACTACAGAACATTGCAGTAGGGATTTACACATGCAATAGGGGTTTACACATGCAGAGTAATTTGGGTGTATTCAAAAAAATTACAGCAAGGGGAAGTTTTTTAAAGATGAAATTGAGGATTTCAAACAATAATCCATGGTGACAATGAATAATAACTGGTGTCAGGGCAAGGTTGAACAGAGTTGTTTGGCAAATGTCTTTGTAAGGACTTCTTGTGTGACGCTGTGGTGGCCTTTGTGCAAACGTGGTTTTTATAGAGCATTTCCTTCATAATTTCCTGGTTTTATTTGTTTGTTTTGCCCTAATTTTATTTATTTGTTGACAAAAACGGCTGTTTGTATCCTGACAGTTTTTGTATTTTTTCATTTCTCTTAAATGACCATAATAAAATGGCAACTTTTACGTAGTACTTCCTTTTCACGTTTTAGTGGATTAAATGTGATCCCATATGTAAAGTGCATTTAATTTCAGAAATGGTAGTTGCTGTTCTTGGTATAATCATCATCATTTTAACAGGCTTAGTGACCAATGGTTCAGAGTCACGGAGACTAATTAGGAAATTGTGCAGTGTTGAGAGCTTAAGCTAGTGCCGGGGGGTGATGGAAAAGGAAGCTGTGTGGCTGGGAATGTGGCTTAGGGACCATGTGTATGCTCGGGTTCCTGGGTTTTATCCTTAGCAGCGCCCCCCACCCCCAGGAAAAAGGAAAGACTAAAAACGAAAGACACCCAAGAAAGAATTGATGGGATTTAGGGGCTGGTCACATTATATTCTGAGTAATGGATTGTTGTGATCAGAATACCTTAAATTTGAACTAGTGTTCTCAGTTGACAGTTGTAAATACCAGTTTGAAGTTTAGTGAAAAAGTCAGACTGTAGATAGCCAATACACTCACACAAAAACCCTTGCAGTGGGGCTGGGGAGATGGCTCAGTATAATAAGCACTTCCCTGGCAAGCACAAGGGTCTGAGTTCAATCCCCAGTTCCACAAAAAAAAAAAAAAAAAAAAAAAAAAAACCACCTTGCAGAAATTAGGAAAACTGATTTTCTTATGTTATTGTTGACTTTTTGCACCATTGCATACATAAAAGTACAGGAAGTATTATATTGCTTGCCTGTGTTTAAGTCTTAGTTCTGCCTCTTACTAACTGAATGACCTCCGACAAGTTTTCTTCAGTACTCTTCGTGAAAAGACATGATAGTACACCTCTTTCAAAGGGTTCTGGTGAGAGATAATTAATGCTATATGTGCTTAAACTAGAGGCGGACATGGGTAAGACTCAATAAATGTGAGTTATTACTATTATTTTTGTGTCATTATTGCTCTGTTTTATTAAAAATGCTCAACAAGTCTTTTAAATTGCATATTTATCTTTTAGATACTCTGCTAAAAGTTAGAATGAAACAGTTGCCTGCCGCAACAGTTCGCCTCCTTTCAAGCTCCCAGATAATCACTTCTGTGGTCAGTGTTGTAAAAGAGCTGGTCGAAAACTCCTTGGATGCTGGCGCCACAAGCATAGAGGTGAAACTGGTGGGTGTTTTTGAGAAGACAAACACTTTTAAAGCAAAATTGGGATCTGATAGATGTTTTCTTCTTTTTCCTGCTTTCTTTTCTGACTGTGTACTAGTAATTTATTCATAGGACAATAGACTTTTTGTCTTAATGTCAAAAGCTTAAAATTAAAATTTAATTTAAATCTATAGTTTGATTACACCAAAGGACATTGTGAAAAAAACACAGGTGCCTAAGTACTTTATCACTTAAAACATCAATTTAATGTATTTTGTAGTACTAGCTTTTTTTTATTTAATTACTTTTTAAATATATTTCTTTTTGCATTTTATTTTTCCTATGTAGTCTTGTTACAGAGCTATTCATAGTTTTCAAATTTTTAAATGCTATATATTAAATCGTGTAATTAATATGACTCATAGCACTCATTGTGGTTTATTGCAGTTAATTTGCACGCCCATTTCTATTATAAATTGTAAACTCAGAAGAAGTAAGCTCTATATTGTATTTATTTAAACATCTTTCATACCTGCCCAGTACCTCAGATGTGGTAGGAAAGTGAATAAATTTGTTTGGTTGAATATAATAATTCACTTATTAAAATCTAATTATCACTTTGGTCATGGTGGCACTTGTCTATAATCCTAGCACTCTCGTGGTCAGAAACAGGATGAGTACAAGTTTAAAGCCCAGCCAGAATAATTTACTGAGGCCCTGCCTGAAAATAAATAACATAATAAAAATAAAAAATTGCAGCTGCAGTTCAGTGTGAAGGCCTTGGGTTCACCAGTACCACAGAAACAAAAAACCAGATTGCCATATGTTTATATTACTTCTGATATTATGTCATTGGGAATCATTCTAAAAGAAATATATTTGTAAGACAGGGATCTAACCTTTTCCTATCAGATTAGATTCTTTCATAGAGCTATAAAATAAGGCACTTACAAAAACTATATATTAACTACTAAAACTACATTTTGAAAATAATTATTGTTTGGAAGAATTGTCCCAGGTCACATAATTATTAAATAATGAAGCTAAGATTAGAATCCATCTTTGGTACTTGAATAATCATTTAAAATCTTTCTTGTACGGCAGTGATTTTACAGTGTTTGGGTGCAGCAAATTAATTTACAAGTTAGACATTTATCAGGCACCATTCATAAAACTTGAGATTCTAAGGACTGGCGAGATAGCTCAGTGGACTAAGTGCCAGCTCAGGAACCAGGGTTCAATCCCGGCACCATAGGCCGTGGTGGCCCCACTCCCCTGACCCCAGGGTGGGGTGAGCTGGCAGTTCAGGTGTGGTGGTGCATACCTGTAATCCCAGCACTGGGGAGGCTGAAAACAGAAGGATCACTACAAGTCCAAACTGCATAGTGAGACCCTGTACAAATACATTAAAAAAAAAAAAACCCTTTAGATTCTAGGTGAGACTTGAGAAGTTTTCATTTCTAACATGTTTCTGATTGATGCTGAACATGCTGTACCAAAGAACACAATTTAATTCAGTGTAATTTAATTTAATTTTTTGGTACTAGAAATTGAACTCAGAACCTTGCACTTGCGAGGCAGGCAATTGTGCCATGGAGCTATATCCTAGCTCTTAAAGAAAACAATTTTAGAGCTACTCTTCTATAGCATAGCAAACCTGTATTTTTAAAGTAATATGCTATGAAGTTTATAAACATGAGAAAATGTGTAAGTTAAATCAAAAGAAAGTTCAATTTTCTTAGGTTTTTCATATAATCAGTTCAGCCTGATAGAGTGCAATTGATAATTAAAAAGGATTATATCACTATATTGGACAGACTTCACTTAAGAATCTTAGGCAAATATCTTGTTCCTTATTTTGTTACTTTTGTTGTTTTACTTAAACATCTCTGGAAGAAAAATAATTTTATGTTATCAAGCCAACTTAAGTATTCTATAAAAGTATATTAAATATAACCTAACTATATATTTTAGTCTTTTGATGTTTAGCAATATCTGTGTTGTAGAATTTTAGACTAAACAATTCAAGGTGGGCCTGGAGGGAAAGGCCTGTGATCCCAGTATTATGAGAGAAGAAATTGAAAGTTCCAGTCTAGTCTGGGCCACTTAGTAAGGCCTTGTCACAAAATAAAAGAACTTAAAAGGGCTCAGCATATAGGTGGGTGTGAAATATTGGGTTTAATCTCTTGCACTGTATAAACAAACAGTTCATTTGGGCTGCTTTACATGATCTGTTTTATTATGATTTTGTATAATAATAGCTGTAGTAGGTATGTTGTCATAATTAAATGTTAATATCATCATGTAATGTAGCAGCCATTATTGAATTCCTATTACTTTGTTTAGTGAAATCTTGTATCATTTCTAATTTTTTTCTATCACTATTTTGTATTTTAATAAAATTCAGAAAGATTTTTTACTCAGATGTCTGCAGTTTTTATTTATGTATGAGATTTGTATTTCTCTAATTTTTTTCCTATAAAATGAAGACCGCTCTACATGTCAACTTAATTTTAGATTAAGAGCTGAGAGACTAAATCATATATTTTCTCTCCAGTGTCTTATATATATAATTTACCTAAAAACATACATATACAGTATTATATAATTTTAGGTTACTAAAAAGATGTGATATTGTTTTATAATGTGAAGTGAATCTAATACTAGAAAAGTTTTTTTCCTCTTTGTAACTGGAGCTGTGACTATACACTTAAAATATTTGGAATGAGAAGTTGGCCACAAAGTTTAGAATGTTTAGAATATTCATAGAGAGCGTGATCATTATAAAAATTTAGATTTTGTTATTATGTATGTATATTTTAGTATTAGTATGTATAAGATATAAGTAGGTTTTCCTAGAACTTTTTTGTGTGATGATACTTGCAGAAAGAAATTTAGGAAGTTATAATGTACTAAGTATTTAAATGTTTTTGTTTTTTAATTTTGAAACAGAATCTCTAATTTGCTAGTAAATTGCCTAAGCTGGGCTTGAACTTGATGATCCTCTTGCCACATAATCCCAGAGTTCTGGGATTATAAGCATGAACCCTATGCCTGGCTAATTTAAATTTTTTTATGAAAACAAAGAAGAAAGTATTAAAAATTAGGTTGACAGGCTAGCCAGGTAGCTCAGCGGATTAAAGTGCCTGCTTAGGCAAGCACTAGAGCACTGGGTCAATCCCTGGCTTGCCATGAAGGCCCTGCCCTGGGGCATACTGAGGCCATGAGTAAGACTGGGTGTGGTAGCGTATGGCTATAATCCCAGTGCTTGGGAGGCTGAAAACAGGAGGATCACTGTAAGTCTGATCTTCATAGTGAGACCTTGTAGACCCTGTACTAAATACATAATAAATAAAATAAAAATCAGGTTGAATACTGATGATTGCTGTACTTTTGGTTGGTGAAAGGGCATTGTTGTGCTAGTGATAGGTTGCTGGAGTTGTTTTATTTGGGTGATTTTATGTGCTCGCTCTATATATGGTGAGTGAGTGAGTGTGTGTGTGTGTGTGAGAGAGAGAGAGAGAGAGAGAGAGAGAGAGAGAGAGAGAGAGAGAATTAACGGTAAATAGAATCCTTTATGATACTGACTTCCTTATTTGGACCTGAGTCCAGAGAAAACCAGAAACTTGTTCATTGTACCATTACTAGGAATTTGTAGAGCTAAAAGAATTTGAGTTCTGTTTTGATTTTATTATCCCTCCATAAAAGGCAAATAAATGACCAAAGTGTTTCATTTGTGTTTTGTTTTCTGTGTGATCATAGCATACTGTTTTTAAGGTACTAAAGATTTTCTAACTTTGTATAGGAGAACCATGGGTTTGATAAAATTGAGGTTCGAGACAACGGTGAAGGTATCAAGGCTGTGGATGCCCCTGTGATGGCAGTGAAATACTATACCTCCAAAATAAACAGCCACGAAGATCTTGAAAACTTGAGAACCTATGGTTTTCGTGGGGAAGCATTGGGGTCAATTTGTTGTGTAGCTGAGGTAAGATAATTTGTGTTAATTTTTGTAGAGATTTCATCATCATAGGTTATTAGAATAAAGAATATCCAATATTTGGCAAAGTATATTTTCGAATTTTAAAATATTTATAGTAAAGTGTCCTTAGAAATTTACCATTCCAACAACTTTTAGGTGTATCTCTATCAACATGATCATCTTCAGAAACTTTGCATCATTACAAACTAAAACTCTGTACCCACTAAGCAGTAGCTGCTCAATGCCTTTCCCATCATCTCAGCTTGCAGAATCACTGAGATAGGTACTCATTTTTTTGACCTTGAGGCTTTGTATGGTATTGTCCCCAGTAGGTCAGAAGATGGCAAGTGGGAGATTTTACTGCTGGAGTATAGAGAACTGGGACCTTGACTTGTTGGCATCCAGAATCAGACCTCATTCAAGGAGGAAGCACACTCTTCACACCTCTACCCAAAATCTTCCACACCATCCACTTCTCTGTCTTACTCAGCCCTTTCTTTACAGTGCACTAAGTCTCTAGGAAGGCTTTGGAGGCCTGGAGAGTCCAAGTAGGCATTGCCTGTCATGCTTCAGAGCATGTATGTGGGAACCTGCACCCCTGAATCTTACACCAAAATGTCTTTTTAAAGTGGCTTGGGATATGTACCAGGGAACCTCTGAACCTCCCAGGGGTAATAGTGCTGTTGTTTGAACTCCCATTGGCTGTTTTAGAACATAAAGATAGTACATGATTTTTTAAACTTCTGTCCAAACTATCAAATAGCCTTTAAGGCTTATTTTGGTGTTATCAGAAAAGACATGGTGTCTGTATTTTCTATAAAATGCATATAACCTTTCAGAGCTGAAATTGGGTTGTAATCAGGTTGGCCTGCTAGGTGGCAGCAGCAGACTAACTGTGAATGTGTTTCACAGGAACCAAACCTTCATTGTAATTCTGATTTTGGAAGGCAGTTTTGTGTTTCCCCTTGGTCATAATCTTATTTGTTTATATAATCCCACTGATATCTACATTTGTCTGTGTGTGTGTGTGTGTGTGTGTGTGTGCACGTGCGCGCTCGCGTTTGAGGCATTCAAGTGGCCATGAGTACAAATAGAATGAATTTATTCATTGGAATTTCAAGAGAATTGTCAGAGTATCACAGTGATAGGAAATCATGAACTTCATAAGCAGCTAAAGTGTGCAATATACACGGTGTAGTACCAAGTATTTGTTTATCCATAAAATATTAACAGCAGCTTATGGTATCTTTTGTGCATGAAGATACATACAACCTACATGCAGCACAGTGGAGATGGATGGATGGATGGATGGATAGATAGGCAGATATCACACAGAGATCAAGACCATTATTAGGATCCAAAAGCTTCTCTCATGTCTCCTAACAGTCTGTACTCCTCAATGGTAACCCTCTTCTGGCCTCTGCTAACCTAGCTCTGCCTGTTAAACTTAGTACTTGATATGTAAATATAGTATATGTTACCTGGAACAAAATACCTGATAACTTAAAGAGGGTAAGGTTTATTTTGCCTCCCAGTTTCAAAAGTTTCAGTCTGTGGTTGGCTAGCTCTAAGGCAGAAACACAATGGCAGTTAGAAGGAAAAGAGCCAGAGAGAAAGAAAGGGCTGGGAACTAGAAGGACCCTTTTTTAGTCACACCCCCCAGTGTCCTTCCTCTTAACTCCACCCTTCCTAGCAGCATTTCTGCTATGAACTCATCTGAATTAGTACCTTCTTTATAGTTAGTCTTTTAATCTCATCACCTTCCCAAAGCCCCACCTCTGAACACATGAGCCTTTGGGGAGACATTTTTCCTTGAAACCATAACTTAGCATGTATTGTCACTGGAGTTTTTGACAATGGCATTTTTGTGCCTAAAAGTTAGTCGTGGCACACAGCTAATCCCATCAGTCACGAAGGCTAGCCTGGAAAACTGCAAGTTTGAGTGCAGCCCAGGCATCTGAGTGACTTAGTGAGGTCCTGTCTTAGTGAGGTGTTCCCCTTTGGGGAGAGCTAGAAATGTAGCTTAGTGGGAAGGGCCTGGATTCAATCACTAGTGTGCTGTAAGAAGAAAAGGAAAAGAAAGATCCAGCTGGAAGGGACCCTGGTGGAGTAGTGGACCTCAGTAGCCTGCTCAGGTTCCCCACTAGTGGCCCGAGCTGCCAAGGGTGTTGGTGGCAGAAGGCCGATAGCTGACTTTCCCTTACTTAAGCTGGAGAGAACTGCCTAGCTGGTTATGCGCAGTGATCAACATCCAAAGGCTGCTTTTTCTTGAGAATCGGAAGAGTTACTGTCCATCCTCCATATATGGCTCATACTGTATTTGACTTGTCCATCCCACGTATTTAAAGTTGTTAGTGTGGATGTTTTGACCTGTTAGAATTTTGTGGTAACACAGGATGTATAGGCTGTTTTATGTCATGTGAAGCCTCCATGACTTAGAGGAACAGAATGAGAAGCTAACTCATTCTGTTTAATATATGGGCCTTAGGACTCCCTGATTTGTGGCCCACACAGTGGTAAAGGGTAACAAAATGCCCTGTAGTATAAGTCTAATATTTGTAGGCCATACAAATAATTCTGCCTCCTTTCCCTTGGTGTAGGGAACCTTCTCTCTCCTTTAGAGGTAGTAGAACTTCAATGAAGAGATAGGGAAATTTTTGAAGTTGTTGGGAGATTATGATTCCTAAATGCAGCCTCCTCAAAGGTAGTGCACCTCTGTTTTTTGTGTTTGTTTGTTTGCTTTTATATTCAGTACAGGGGCTCACTACATAGATTAGATTCATGATCCACCTGTGTTCAGCCTCCCAAGAGCTGGGATTACAGTTGCATGCAACTACATCCAGTCTCAATCTCTGTCTCCATTGCACCCCATGGGTGGGGCCAGCACGGCATGCCTGGGATCGAACCCTAAGCATGCGCTTTATTCCACTGAACTATCTGGCCGCCCTATCTATGTTGAAAGTAGTAGAATAATTCTGACTATTGAAAATCAGAATATTCATATTAGTGTTTATCTGTATGTAGCAAGCATACTTAGAAGCCCGTAGTTTACTCACATCAAAGGGCTATTAATCTGAGTTTTCAGGTTCGTGTTTCTCTGCCATTCTTCATCTAAACATCAGCCCCAGGGAGGGTGTAGCCTAGTGCTGGAGCATTTGCCAGAAGGTGCCAGGCTTTGGGTTGGATTACTGACACTGCAAAACATTACAGAATTCAGCCCCCATCACCCAGAAGGCTTGGTCATAATTACCATAAGTAACTTTATTGAGATTTTTGCCTAAGGGGCCGGGAAGATAGCTCGGGGGGGGGGGGGGTCTCAGCACCTGCCTGGCCAGCGTAAGGACTCATGTTCAATCTCTGGCACTGCATGCCATGCCAGCCCTGCACCAAGCCAGCCACCGAAACCAGGTGTGTAATCCCAGTGCTGGGAGGCTGAAACAGGAGGGTCACTGTGAGTCTGAGCTGCGTAGTGAAACCCTGTGCCAAATAAAGAAAGATTAAAAAAAAAAAAAAAAAGTATTTTTGCCTGAATCTTGTTTTTAAATTTACTTTTTAATCCAAAATTGAAAAACTATGCTTTTCTAAAGTATAAATGCCTTTATGTAGTTGTGTATTAATACTCTATTTCCTTGAAATTAGTTTAGGTTTTATTAACTGACTAGCTAATATAATCCATAATGTGGTCCTCTGAAGATTTAAAACTGCTTTTCAGTACTGATTTTGTTACAAAAGAAAAATTCTCTTGGCTTCACTGATTCGCTCACTGGTACAATTCCTCAGAGTCTCTTGTAGGAATACCAGTAATAGTTTATAGTGTTTGACATCCTCCCAGTGGTAGAGTTACTGCACCTTCAGGTGTAAGCTGCTGCAGTAATGCATTCTGCACCCACATCTGGTTTTATAAAAGGCCCAGAAGATTATAGGGTGATACAATGAGAGAAGCTCTGGAAATGCAGTGTCTTCCCCCGAGGAACACACTGTATTACATGAATTTGTGGAACATACATGTTTTGTTTTGTTTTATTGTCTTTAGCGGTGAATTCGAGAACATCTCCCATCTAGGTAAATTTTCATAGTGCCCTACAGATTGTAATTTAAGACAGTTTTCTTACTGGAAAATGGATTATGTTCATTTTTTAAATTTTAACTTTTAAACATGAAAACAGTAAGTCCTATTTCTTTTTCTTTTTTTCCTTTTTTTTTTTTTTTTTTGGAGGGGGTACTAAGGATTGAACCCAGGGCTTTTGCACTGAGGTACATACATCTCCAGATTCCCCTCCTTGGTTTGAAAGAGGGTCTTGCTGAGTTGCCCAGGCTGGGCTCTTAAGTTGGGACGTTGTTACCCCAGCTTCCCACAGTGCTGGGATTATATGTGGGCTGGGTCCTGTTTCACTTTTGCAGCCCTTCAGTTTATTCATGTAAGCTGGAGTAGGTTTACTCCCCATTAGTATGTTTTAAAAGGATGAATAAGTTACTCTTACAGAATGCTTTGAAGTGGTTAAAGAAAAATCCCATGTAACCTTATGAAATAAGAGACCATCTTCATCTTATCATCACTCCCCCAAAGATGGTAGTGTAATCATTTATTCAGCCCATCCAAAGGCCACTGGCAGAGTTAGTACTGGAACTAAGAGTTCCAGGGCTGCCTTGCTCTGTGACACCAACTTGAGGTCAGGTGGCCAGCCCTTAGAGAATGGAAACAAAATTCAGTTGACCTTGGGATTTTGGAGAAACAGTTTCTTAAATGTAAAACAATTTTAAAGGAACTGTTGTGGAGTAATTAAATTTTATTAGAAGATACTGTAATGGATATATTATAGTTGGGATGTAGCAGGGAAGATTAAGAGTAGATACCACAAAAATATTTTGAATTATACAGCTTTCAAAGCATGGAATGTATTTTGGCAGAAGTAGAACAGTCACTTAAAGAGTGCCCAGAAGTTCACAGCTTTTACATACAGCTTTTTTCACAGAAATAGCAGCTTGACTAAGTGCCCTGAGTAATTCCATTAGCTTCATTCTCAGAATATAATAGACTCGACTAGCACATTGAGCTAGAATAGTTATATTTTTGTAGTGGTTCTGGTATTTCCTACAGAGTGCCTGCATGTTCCGCAGAGCTAGATGACCTCCAGTAAATCTGCTTAGTGAGGACAGAGTGACAGAACTGTCAAATGTAGACAGATGTGGACCAGTGAGTTCCAGCAGTAAATCTTGTGGTTTTGTTGAATCAATTACACACTCTAGATTTAGCCACCTATGAAAAAAGCTGTGTGACCACATGAGACTTGGGGGTAGGGGAGCATCTGACACAAACCATGACACTATGTATGGCTTCTTTCTTCCCAGTCCCCTCTGCCATCCTTGAATTAGCTTCTCCACTTCCACATTGGTTTTGTGACACAGGTGTGATTTATTCTTACATTTTCCTACTAATACTGTTCAAATGAGTATACATGCTCTTACATTTGTATTACTTACATCTAAGTAAATCTTATCTGCAGTGGATTTCTAAACGGTGGTCAATTTATTACACCCTGCTGAATTAAATTGGCCTGGGGCTGGGTGTGGGAGGCCCACTTGAGGATTGTTGTCAGCAGCATAAAAGGTAGAACAGGAGAAGCTGTCAGGATGCTGTTTGGAAAGGTTGTGGGAGCTGTTGGAAGCTGCTAGGTCTCTTGAGTTGTTCTGCTGGAGGACCTTGTCATGTTGGCTTTCCTGATGAACTTTGGAGGAACTTTGGTCCTCATGGAGAACCTTGTCACATTGGCTTTCCTGATGGGAACTCAGCTTTCCTCATTGCTGGAGGAGCTCACAACCGTACTGTAGCTGAGGATGGCTATGGTATCTTTGGGGGAACTCTTGTGTTTACCTTGAGCATTGCTTCCTAGCTGTAGTTCAGACCCCTCAGCCTGCTAGCACAGATCCTTCATCACACTGGCATAAACTTTCTAGCTTCTACCACTGACCTTTGGGCCTTCCAGCACAGATCCATGAAGAAGACCTGCATGAGACTTTGTTGTGGGCTCTAGGCCTCCAGTTGGACTTGTGGGAGGTATTGTTATTAGCTCTGTGTTTTCAGCTGGACTCATACAGGATATTAGGATCTAGGTTCTCAGCTGGATTCTTTAATGTGCAGGGTATGGACAGCTTTCCTGCACTTGTATATGATTCTTGGGTGATTCCTTATAATATTATAAAATGTGTCCTGTATTATATTGTTCCCCTTGCAAAAACCCCAAATCATGACTGTCTATCCTATCTATCTGTCTGTCTATCTTTCTATTTATCTATCTTTGCAGTATTTGGGGATTCGCCCAAGATCTTTCATTGAGCTACGTCTCTAGCTCTTTTTATTTTTATTATTTCGTTATTTATTTTTTAATGTCTTTGAAATAGAGTCTACAGTGTCTCACTATGTAGATTGGACTTGTAGTGATCCTATTTTTACCCTCCCAAGTGCTGGGATTACAGTTGCACATCACCATGTCCAGTCTCAGTCACTGTCTCAGTGTGCCCCGGGGGCAGGATTGGCACACATACTGGGGATCAAACCCCAGTCCCTGCGACTGCCTAAGCAGGTGCAAATTACTGATTTTTTACTATTTTAATTAAAAAAACACACAGAAGTAGTATACCTGACATGACAATTTTGTTTATGTACTATGTAATTTACATATGTAGAAGCAAATTTATGGAACCTGTTTTTTGTTTTGTTTTGTTTTGTTTTGTTTTGTTTTGTTTTTTTGGCAGAACTGGGGATTGAACTCAGGCCCTTGTACTTGCCAGGGAAACACCTATTCCATTGAGCCATCTCCCCAGCCCCTGGAACCTGATTTTTAATAGGTTTTATTATTAAGTCTTTTAAAATCACTGCACTGAGACAGTGATTGAGACTGGGCATGGTAGTGCGTGCCTGTAATTCCAGCGCTTGGGAGGCTGAAAGCAGGAGGATCACTATGAGTCCAATCTGTGTAGTGAGACCCTGAAGACCCTGTACTAAATACATAAAAAAGAATAAATAAAAATCAGTAATTTGTAATATAAAATAGGCAAGCCAGTCTATTCGTTAGTGTAACTGTAAGAAATATAAGAAAAATGGTCATAAGAATTTATCAAGTAAAATTTTTTCATTAAGTAAATATGCTATAATTACTAGTATTTCGAATCTAATTTGGTAGTAAATCTATTGCAGTGTGTAAAATGATAAATGTACCAGAGAATTTTTTTAATTTCCAGGTTTTGATTACAACAAGGACAGCTGCTGATAATTTTAGCACCCAGTATGTTTTAGATGGCAGTGGCCACATAGTTTCTCAAAAACCTTCACATCTTGGTCAAGGTAAGAGAGTCGTTTTATAACATTCTTTTACCTTTTCTGTTTTGTTTTAAAAAAGATGTTACTCGATGAATTGAGATGTATTGTTTTGGGCCGGATAAAATCTAGTTGATTTGAAAGTGAACATTCAGCCTTTAGTTATTAACTTAAATACGTAATTGACTGGATGACACTGCGTTAATTACTCTGCAAAACCTGTACGAGCATTCATTACCTATTGCTGGGTTGCTAGCATGATCTTTAGGTATGAAGGGTGGTATTCTATTGAAACACCTGCTAGTGTCATAGTATTAAGGTGAAATGATTACAAAATATTAAATTTCTGTATGGAAGACTTCAAACATATGTACAGGTAGACAGGATAATATACTTAAATATGTTAACTTTTATTCTTACTTACAGTGTAATTCTTTAGTGTGTTACATGTTTACATTTTGTAGTTCCTCATTATAATTTAGTGTATGTCCTTATAACGTACTATATGTTTTTTATGATTTTTTCCATCTAGTTTTAGCATTAACTTACTAAAATTATTTTTTTGCAGATACTTCTGTCTTCATTGAAATATATTTTTGGTATCTTAATTCTGATGTCAAATTTGCTCACTCTTATTTTATAAAGCCTCAGCATAGTTATGAATAGGGTCGGTCTATGTTTCCTTAAAAACAAAATAAGCAGTATTTTTTTCATTTATTCTGGTAGTAAAATTGAGTTCAAGTTTAGTTTGATCTATAATAATAAATGCACATATTTTAATTAAAATCAGTGTAATTCTTTTACAGTATGTTGAATGTTTGGTCAGAAAGGCTTACGTCTGTAAACATGATTCCTCTCAGGAACTGCTCTGATCCTAGGTCTTAGAACTTCAAATTAGGAAACCATTTGGAGTAGTGATCTGGTAGACTACTTTGAAGTAATCTAGTCACCTTATAAAACTTAAAAGTATTTATTTTTATCTTAGTAGTAACCCATTTAATCTGCATGGCCAGTGACTCTGCATCACTCATACTTCTCGTGCTTTTCTGTATTCGTCTCCATGGGAACTATGAAATAACAATCCTTTAAATATGGACTCCATCTGATCTTTGCCCTTTTGCTGGTCGATTTTTCTTTCCCTGCTGACCTCAGTTTTCTACCTTTAGTAAGTGAGACTGGGTATGCATAGTAAGGAATTTTTATAGTCAATAAGTAAACCCTGTTCTTTTATCTTGAGAAATAAACGTATTTGGCAGGTCAGTAGCTATTAAGCTGGTGGTTGCCTTTCGTAAGTCACTTTTTCACCTGATCATGTGATTGGTTAGTAAAACACAAAGCGGTCTTAATTTCCAGTTGCTTTAGATGGACATATAAACATCCACAAATACTTCCCAAGCCTTTTACATTTATGCTGCTTGGTGCTGGTAGTTTTTGAGTGATCACATACTCACATTTCACCAGCTGTCATCAGCTTCCATTTAAATATTTTCTGTGTAAGATAAAACTACAGTTCCATGATACTAATTTATACCTGTGCATTTAGGGTTCTTCTGGATTAATTTCTACTGTGGTGTGAACATCCTTGCTTAGCACTTACTCTTCATGTAATCTAATAGGACGACACAGATAGTATAACAGTAGGTGCAGGAACAACTTAAAACAATCTTATTTGGGCATTGAAAAATTTGTTACTTCTTTAAAATCATTTAAAATTGTTTTAAAATAATTTATAAGAAGCTTCATTTCTGTTTTTCTGTGTATAGTATCTTTTTATGAGTTAATGTACCATTTAAAATCGTCTGTGGATTTAATGTAATGTCTTTCTAATTACCTTTATCTTCTATTCACTTGTTTTAAAATACTACACCTGATTTTATTTAACTAATAAGAAATATAGTAATGTCTCTAACTTTTAAATTCTTTTACAAAGAATACTATTTTAGTCATCCTTTTTCTATCATCACTCCTATTTCCTTTACCCTAATCAGTAGTAAGCTTCTAATTTGATTTATTTTCCTAGACACACCCATCTCCAAGTTCTTCTGCCCTAGAAATTTCTCAGATATCAATAGTAGTATATTTAAAGTCCTGTGATCAGGTTCCTTTTCCAACCGTGTTATTAGAGTAGAGCATTATGGTCTATATGAATTCCTACTATGTATGATTGTACATGTATTGAAATATCTTTTTATCTTAATTAAAGGGTAGAACTTTATTATTTTTAAGACTTCTTTCTGATATATTCAGGCACCCATACCTTTACATTTGGAGTATAAATAGTTTGCCTTTATGAGTAGCGTAACATGGGGTTCTGTAAAAATATAACAGGAGCTTATTACAGGACTGCAGTTTAATCCAGTGTTTAAAGAATGTGCTAAAGTTAGAGAGCTGAGCAATTCTCTTGTAAAATATGATAGTATACTGGGGCCTTCTCCCTATTGGCCAGTATTACTTGGTATTTTGAGAGATACACATTTCATTTGGAATCAGAAAAGTCCTATCCATCAGTAAGTTCTAGTAAGACATGTGATTTGCATCATATTGGTAACTCTTAATTTACTCTGACAATATTTTTAGGTGCTTAGGTAATGTGGTCTTTGAGATACAACATATTTTTAAAACATCAAGATTTTTTTTTTTTTTTTTTCACTTTTTAGAGCACATTCCTGTTTTGTCCCAGGTCATTTTTTTCTGTCTGTTCATAGGTACAGTAAATTACATTTGTTTTCTTGGAAGTCTTATATAGTGAAGAGCCCAGATGAATAGATACACAATGACCAAAAATATAAAGCCACTAATTGCCTAAAGGGAGGTTAGCAGGTTTTTTAGAAAATACAATAGTTGAATTTGAAGACGATAGGCAGAAAAGTGTGGGAGTATAACTTTACAATGAGAAGAACAATACATATAGATGAGACTATTGGGGCATAGGGGCATAGATCTGTACTCCTAGCACACTGGGGCCTCAAGTAGGAAGATGGCAAGTTCAAGGTCACCATGATTATGGAGCTCAAGGCCAATCTAGACTATGTAGTGAGACCCTGTCTCAAAACATAAAAACAAAAAATGAAGGAAGGAGGAGGAGGAGAAAAGGAAGAGAGCTGGGTATAGTGGTGGATACTTGTAATCCTAGCTGCTTTGGAGGCTGAGTCAGGAGGATTGTAAGTAGGAGGCCACCCTGGCAACTTAGCAAGACCCTAACTCAAAAATCTAAAGGGCTGGGGCTGTAGATCAGTAGTAGAGTTCCCCTGGGTTCAATCCATAGTCAAAGAAGAGAAGGAGACTATTGCTCCATTGCTTTCTGTGTAACAATGAAGGAAAAACTTGATAACTTAAAAAAAATTGTTGTGTTCTTTAAACTTGTTGAAGAAGAGTGTCACAAATTTAAATGAACTAAGTTCAAGAGTTCTATGGAAAAAGTGACACAGTATTTGTATCCATGGGAACATTAACTAATCAGGAGTTGTAGGTGGACAAAGAAGCAAGTCTGCCATATATAAAGGTTCTCTTATGACATTGAGCTCCACTAGATGAACTTTGAATGAATGCTGTCATGTTGACCAACATGATAGATGGATAGGAGATCCCCAAACGCAGCTAGTTTACCTGCCTCACCAAATCTCATCAGGACTTCTGTGAGTAAGCAATGATGAATAGAGTTGGGGCTCAGCTCCAAAGCAAGATCTTAAAGCTTTGATGGAAAAGAGGATGATTCTGTTCTTAGGACATTTGGGACCAAAGGTGAACTGGAACTAAATAAAGGCGCAGCTCAGCTCCAACCCAGACTTATTAGATTGAAGACGGATGTTCTTTACTTGCTTGATAGAAGACAAAAACTTTTGAAGGAAATATCTCCTTTATTATTTGTTGGGTATTTTTGTATACAGTATATAATATCTGGCAAAAACTTGAGACATGTGCAAAAAGGAAAAGGAGGAGCATAGTCAAGAGAAAAAAAAGAATAAGGATACTCACAGGTGAATCATACTTGAACTAATATATGAGAACTTTTAAAAGTGCATTAAAGAATTTTGAAAAGATGCTCAAAATCTTTAAGCAAACAGAATTTTAGTAAATGGAAACTAAAAGTAAAACTTTTTAAAAAGAAATTTCAAAATCTATAAAAATACCCTGAATAATTAATTGGATGAGTGCTGTAGTTTAGATCTGGAATATCTATGAAAGACCTGTGTGTTAAAATCTTGATCTCCAGTGAAAGCACTTCTATTCTTTGGGGCTATGCTCTAAAAGGGATATTGGGGCACACTCCCTGTCTCTTTCTTTGCTTCCCCATGCTGGTGAAGTCTTTGGCCAGAATCTCCCACTCTAATGTAGGAGCCTCATTAGAATCTCAAAAGCAACAGGGTCAACTGACCACAGACTGAAAATTCCAAAATCGTGAGCAAAATAAATTTTTAAAAATATATTATTTCACGTGTTTTGTAACAGAAATGGAAAACTAATGTGAAACATTAGTACTGAAAAGTAGGGTTTTACTGTTACTGTACATTATAATGGAGAGAAGTCTTTGGAATTAGTTTACAAGAAGAGTTAGAGGGCTGGGGAGATAACGGTCTAAGTGCCTGCCTGGCAAGTGCAGGGACCTGGATTGGATCCTCAGTACTGCATGCCATGCTGGCCCCAGAACCCTAGGTGTGCCATGCTGGTTCCTGAGCTCCAAAACCAGGCATGGTGCACACCTGTAATTCCCAGTACTGGGTAGGCTGAGACAGGAGGATTACTATGAGCCCAAACTGCATAGTAAGACCCTGTATTGAAAGAATTTTAAAAAAAGAAAAAGTTTGCGAGATCAGGCTAGAAAAAAAACCTGGAATGCTGGAAGTAGAACTTACTGTGTGATTCTTATGAGTAATCAGAAGATAGAAATGCAGACATTCAGATTATGCTGGAGAGTTTTTATATAGCATAGATACACTATTGAGAATTAAACTAGAGAATGCCCTGACAAAGAATTTAGTTGTATTATATCCATTTCCTGAGACTTTATAGAGACTGAGCTTGAGGAT